TTCAAACCGGAAACCGTAGCAAAACGGTGCACACCGGTTTGAGCTTGAACTTGCCCCCGCTATGACATGCCTCTCTGAAATACTTGATTATGATTGGTCAGTCATGGTTTTCTGGGGTCAAATATTTCTATTATGACGGTTAAACTCTTTAGTTGGACTGTTGTCCAAAAAACTATTTTCTATGTAGCACTCACTCTCCTTTTTTTAGTTATGAAATAAAATCATTTAAACTCAAATCAATATTTCATATCCATATTTTTATTTATTTGCTTATAGTAGCCATGGGAATATGTACAGTCAGCCGGTGATTATCTCACAATAAACTTCTTCAGTGTGATATCAGACTCCTCTGCTCTCATTTAGGTGTTGATCACCCAGTCAGAGTTTATTTTGTGATAATGAGCAGCTGACTGTACATTATCATTGACTGTACCATGCTTCCCACTGGAGGTTCTAAGTAAAGGTCTTCAAATATCAAATATCAGATATCTCCCATTGCTGTTTTCTCTTACCTGGACAACTGAGAATAGGCTAAAAGCTAAAAGCATTTTTAAAATGACTTTGAAGTGGTTTCTCTGAGCTTCCAGTCAAGAGCTGCTAGCTGCTAGTCTCCCAGCGCTGCACTGCATGACCTCTGACAGACTCAACTCGTCTCTCACTCATACTTATCTCAGCTTACAATCTTGGCCACAGTATGTCCCAAAGGGGAAAGATAGAGCAGTGCGGTACCAAAATACCTCTGACTAACCTACCATACATACAACTATTGCACTATATAACCCATGTAATGTCATTACATCCACATGCTTAGCTCATTAAAGACAGCTACCTTTAACCTGATAATCATCATATGCTATTGAACGTCTCAAGAGACATGTCAAGTGTTCAGCAATAAATGCATTCCTCACTTGGATCATTCTCCAAAGAAAAAAAACAAACAAAAAACAAAACAATGAACTGCTCAAATATGAAAGCCTTTTCTTTACCTCTCAAGAGAAACAAACATTACACACCATCACAAACACTAATAGTTCCCCTTCAGGAACTCGAGCTGCGTCGAGATCGCTTTGGGAACGCCCCTGCGTGACCGCGTTCTGAAGCACGTGTCAAATCAGCCCAATGGAGTAGCAAGACGTCACGGGCGGGGTGACGTAAGCACCAGAAAGTATAAAAGCGCATCCGGCAGGAATGACATGAGGGTTAGTAAATGATGGCATAAGTTTCATTTGTGGGTGAACGTCTCTAGGTTACGTATGTAACCATGGTTCCCCGAGGGAACGAGACGCTGCGTCTCTTTGCCATACTCCCTGCATCCCTCCAGGCGCTACTTCATCGAAGCTAACTTGTGCTCTGCCGGATGCGCTTTTATACTTTCTGGTGCTTACGTCACCCCGCCCGTGACGTCTCGCTACTCCATTGGGCTGATTTGACACGTGCTTCAGAACGTGGTCACGCAGGGGCGTTCCCAAAGCGATCTCGACGCAGCGTCTCGTTCCCTCGGGGAACCATGGTTACATACGTAACCTAGAGACGTTTTCAAATACTGCACCTACTTGAACTTTCCTCTAATCAATGCCAGTTAAAAGGATCTGGATCTGCAGATTTATTTTGTCACAGCATAATTCCCACACTTCCATTTGTGTTATTTCATAGTGTATATATAATATTATAATGTTTATATAAATAATAAAAAAAAAATTAAAAATTAAAATTGACATTCACAAAAAAATGTTTGAACTCCATTTTAGCCTACAAATTGTTCAAGTTCAATATTTTAAGTTCATTTTATTTAATGTACTATTTTATTGTTATTTTAAATATCTGGACTCAAAAATAAAATATAAATTAAGAAAAACTCGGAATGCAGGATATTGTATCATTCACAAATAGAAAATATATATCACATTCATATTACAATTATAAAATATCCTGCGTTCCAATATCTATATATCTATATAGTATTTTGTACATGCTAATTTGTTGTAAAATAACAGATAATCCTGATAATCTAATATATGATAAATGAAAAACATTTTGTTTTGGGGAAAACATGCTTAATATTTACTTTATTTTTTATTACATTAACATTTTTGTAGAATTTCAATTCTAATATTTTATCTGATATTTACCTTTGATATTTATGAAATGATGAAGCGTGACGAGTATGATGCCTGTTCCTGGTAATTGATGTTTTTCTGCATCAGCAGTGTAGCTATGATTTCAGAGAGATCTGGATATTCACACAAATATATTTAAGGGAGCTTCATCAATCTGAGTCTGTGTGACAGAGGTTTTGGCACGCTGTGAGCAGACATTTGAGCTGACGAGTTGGAGCAGGGCAGCCAGTCAGAATGATTTGCATGGACCGTTGGCTTTGGAGCTGAATGTATGAGCATTGAATTCCCAGCACAGATCAATGCGAGCTCTCTGGGCACATAGCCAGCCGCTAGTTTACAACTGGAGTGATGAGCGCACACGCGCGCTGGAATGTGTTTACATGTGCCCTGTCCTCCACTGTACCTGTGAGAAACTGTCACAGTAGATTACATATTACAGCCAGTTGTGTTTCACGCTAATTGTTATGTTTCTGCTGGTTGCTCAGGTTTCTGAGTTGTTTACGGTCTGGAAATAAATGTCATGTTATTTAAACATGTTGTTCTATCATTGCAAAAATAATAGTTGTTGTTGTACCTCTAGGTAAATAAATCAATAATAATAATTCCACTAAAACAAGATAAATAGTTGAATAATACTACTATTTACTACTATAGTAATACTAGAAGAAGTAGAAGTAGAAGTAGAAGTAATACTACTATAATACTACAATATACAAATGTATATTGAATGGAGTACTGCAGTATTCTTATACCACAAGAACGTAGTTTAATCATTTCTTATATCTAGGCTTAAAACAAGGGTGAAAAAAGCCAATGAGAAATGAAAAAATTAAGAAATTTTACAAACCGATGTAAAGAATATTTTCTTGAAAACATGCTTTATTTTGCACATTTTGTCTCATTTTACTTAATGTGTTATTTTATTGTTATTTTATATATTTTACTCTAAATAGACAAAATTGATTTAAAATATTAAATATTAATAAATAAATTGTTTTTGCATTGCAGGATATAGGTGTATGTATAGCATACATATAAATTTGTAGTTGAATAATCATGCATGTGTAGATAATCCTGATAATCGTATATATGATAAATGTCTTCAAAGAAACAATAGGCATTTTGTTTTAGAGGAAACATGCTTAATATCACTGATTCAATAACAGTGATACTTTTCGGAAACTATATGATGTTTTAGATCTTTAATAGCAAAGTAAAATTCCATATAAGCAAATGGAAACCTAGCAAAATGTGGGAAAAAACAATCGAAACACAGAAATACATTTCAAGAGGTGATTTTTTAAATTCAAATAAATAGCCACATAAATAAAACTTTATCTCTCATATACTTTCACACAGCCATGTAATCACACATACAGCAAGCAAGCATATCAGTGAAATATAACCAAGAAAAAAAGAAAATCAGACAGAACAGAATCTTTACAGTTCAGCATAAAAACATAGTGTTTCAAAAGTTACTACAGACTCATCTATACCTGCGGTGGAAACAAACACTATTTTCAAAAGCAACTGTCATCATAAAGTGCATAATTGTCAAACAGCACATGAAATGAAAGTATAAAATGGGATGTTTGAACTAACAAAAAGCATAAAATACACACCTCTGCAGCTTTCTGATATCCTAAAATCAAACTTAAAATTCACCATCACTGGATTTGTTCAGACAAAGGCACAAGTATGGTGGTGGGTGACAAAGGAAAGGGGTGTTACTGTAACACTGTTTCTTACATTACCTTTAAGAGCTTTACCTTCAACTTATCTTTTCCTGCACTGGTTTCAAACACTGTTTTATGACCCAATTTGAAAACACAGTACAGATTTTTTTCTAAACTACTAAAAACCATTGCACAAATATGTCGAATTCACAAAAGACAAACATGCAGCAGGATCATTTAGAGCTATATAAACAGTGCTTCAAGCAAATGGAGCTTCAACAATGGTAACACACTATTGTTTCATATAAATTGCACACAAACCCAGAAACACTTCGGAAATCTACTTCTAGCACCTAGATTGTAAGCTAAAAATAATTTTTAAAAAATTATAAAATTCTACTCTATTGCTTCAAGACATCTTCAGCTATGTGTGTCTGCATCTGTGTGTGCATTTTAATCAAGAAAAAATTATACGAGTATGTAAATGCATGGCCATTCTGAGAAAGGGAGAACCTAAAATGATTGCTTATCAAATGTTTGTTAACTAGAGGAGGCAGCTACTTTTTACATCTGTGCAGTACAACTGTGTTTGCAAGATTTAAACATGTTTCTCTTGATCTTCCCTGCGCTCTCTCTTTGGTTTTTCCTGTAACTTTTCTAGTTCTGCCGTTCTACAAAGCCAGCCTGGACGCAAAGGCAACCTGTGCCATGAAGAGAACAAGTTGTATAAAAATGTCCAGGCTCTTATTTTCTATGCTCATGCAGAATACATCATTAAAATGATCTCGTACATACATACAATACAAACAAACAAACAAAAACATGCTCTATAAAAGAAATAATAAAATAACATTATCAGGCATGAAGTACCTTTTGCTTTCCTACAACAGCTTCCTCTCCTGGTTCTACATTTCAATGTGAAATATTGCACTATAGTCATATTCTTTGTTCACTGTTTAAAAAAAAAAGATTAAAACAAGCAAATTTACACCATTAATGAGGGTCATGGGTTCAAGACATTGTAATGGGCCTAACTTCTCATACAGTGTGTGTTGAGATACAGCCTTTTGAGGAGAATGATCAGTTATGGAGGAGGTAGTGTACTGATGGAAGAGGAGTCTTGAGGGACCAAAACTGAACGGCTAGGCCGGACAATGTCTCCTAATTTCATTAAGTCATTGGTAGGTGCACATTTGTATGATCATAATTTTCTAGCGTCTTTGTATATAGGTGACTAAACATGAAGCAGCATTAAAGTCATTGTCACAGACAGCGAAAACCCAAAGAGCTTGTCTAGTTAACACTATGTAGTACCTCTTGTGCTTATATCTAGCTTACTCTCATTTGACTTTCCCCTCATGCTAAGGCGCCTCTTCATTGCACACATTATTGGAGGCATCGTGTGGCTAGTTTGCACACATTTTCACATCACAGATGAAATGACAGTATTTTTTTTCTTAGTTTTTGGAAGTTTTGGATAAGTCAGATACTGCATTTTGTTTCAAGAACTTTGAGGAAAGAAATCAAAGAGGCAAAAAAAGCAATCAACTTTGGTCTTCTCTGGAGATGTAAAACAAACAAACTAAATAAAAAGCTCAAAGGAATTGGAAAAATCTGTAAGGAAGACATCACTGTCCTATTTTCATACTTGTATAGAGGATAAACAAGCGTCTCTGACATAATCATTCGCTATTGTGGAGGCCAGCTTTACGTATGAGTGGAACTACTCGCAAATGGATGAAAACTCACACTCTTCAGTTCCTTGTTCAGCGACACGTCCTTTATTGCTGTGTGGACAGGAGCACCTGGCAAGGATCATGGGCTCAATGAAGAGGTTGGTTATTGCTTCTTCTTATTTTCTCTGGTCATTCCAACACATATAGACATAATCGTGGAATTGTGTGTCCAGAGAGAGTAAAATTTCTCTCCTATGCATTAGAAAACTACTGAGAGCATCATCAAAATGAGATGCTTTCTAGTTCTGACGCTCAACACCATTGTCCATTGGCTCACTCTGGACTAAGAGTGGTGAAAGCAGTCAGCATCACTCTAAGACCTTCTTCAAAGTCTTTGCCTTCTTTATTTGACCATGACACAGCTGCTGATTTGCTGCTTTTGACCAGCACAGACCAGCTCCTGAACATCAGGTTCAGGCTCGATTTTGGTGCTCAGGCTCCAACTGCCCTGCTGGGGCAGGAGGGAGAAAGGCCCCTGGGACAGGATGGTGGGGTGGATTCGCAGGTGCTGTGGGGACTGAGGGTGGAGATGTGGCCGCTGGCTGATGTGCAGACGAGCCTCCAGAAGATGGGCAGCAGATGCCACGGGGGACAAGGACGAGGAAGATGAGTCAAGAGACTGCTGCTGCTGCCACAGGTTGTGCTGGAAGGTGATGGATGTCTGCTGGCACGGTGGGAGGATAGGTTGAGTCGGGGGGTTGGAAAAGAGGGCGGCAGGGGCGAAGAGATTGTTGGAGGGAGGAGATGAGGGGTGGGACTGTGAGAGGAAGAGCACGGGCTGCTGAGACTGGACTTGGGGCTGAGGCTGGTGCTGGATCTGCAGCATTCTGTATAAAAGAACAACAGAGTTTAGGTATATTCAAGAAATGTACCAACCCTGTTCTTGGAGGCACCCCAACAGTACACATTTTGAATTTCTCCTTTATCTGACCCATCCATTTCCGGTCTTGGAATCTCTACTAATGAGCTGATTCAGGTGTGTTTGATTAGGAAGAGTTTAAAAGTGTGGAGTACTGGGGTAGCTCCAGGAACAGGGTTGGGAAACACTGACGTTTCCAATATTCAGTAGTCTGGGATATGTATGGATTTCTTCTCACCTTTGCTGATGCAGAACTTCCTCCAGCATGCTGCGGCGCTCACGAGGGCTGCTAGAGCTCTGGAGGCTTGAGGGAGAGCACAGAGTTGGGCCAAGCGACCCCCGGCTGCCTCTGGAGCATGAGGTCGGAGGGCACACCTGTCGTGCCAGACCTTTGATCTTGTTCAACCCTAGCAGGCCTTTCGCACGAGTGTTCTGCCTCAGCTGCTGTCTGAATGCCTTCAGCCCTAGAGAAATAATCACAGACCGGTTAGAAACTTCTTAGCCATGTGATTCTATAAATCTGGCACGTGTTTTAAAGTAGATTTTAAATTTTTAATGAAACTCACCCTGTGTAAGGGAGGTGTCTGAAGCCCTACGCCCCTCTTGGAAGCTTGCTGCAAGCAAGCTCCCTTGATTTTGCATGAGGAGGTTGGAGGAAAGAGCGAGGGGCGACCTGGCAGGGGCTAATGCCTCAGGCCCTGTATTGGAGGCAAGCAGTGATGAAAGATCCCCTACAGCAGTGGAGAGAGCAGGGTTGGGGTTCGAGGAGGACTTCAGACAGCTGTCAGAGGAAGCACCATCTGAAGGACTGACCACAATACCTGAGAGATGATGACACATGTAATTAACAACCCGATCCTTGCATTAAGTCCTTCAATTCACCCTAGTATTAACATTTGACTTACAGGGTGGATTGCACTTGTGGAATCGAGCAGAGACCTCTGCAAGTGTGTGCCTTCGGGAGGTGGTGCTGGGCAAATGGGGCGGCTGGACCTGCAGCATCCCCTCTTCCTCCTCCAGGTCATGAGGTCGCACCTCCTCGCTTATGGTAGTCTCCAGCAGGCTGTTGGGGGAGATGGATCGGTTCCACAGGAGCCCGTTCAGGCTGGCTTCCACTGGGCACACCACACGCTGAGGAAGGGAGGGAGGCATTCACATTAGCCACTGCCTGTCTCTAATGGAGGAGGGGGATTGGGGGTGCACTGCATATCTGCAATATGAAACAGGACAGGGAGTCTATTTACTGAGCAACTAGGAAGAGAGGGGTCTAGAGCAGGGGTGGGCAACTCCTGCAGATTTTAGTTCCAACCCTACCCAAACACAGTGATCCTGAAGACCTTGATTAACTTGTTCAGGTGTGTTTAATCAGGGTTGGAGCTAATCTCTGCAGGACAGTGGACCTCTTGTTACCCACCCTTAGTCTAGAGAGGGATTACTTCAAGCTCAAGGGAAGTACTGACCTGAAACAGGCCTCCTTGTTCACATTCCATTTTTGCATGGACAGGAGTGTTCACCTTGGTGGCTACGGGGAAGGCTGAGGTTCTGAAGCTGTCAGACGATTCCATGATCAACTTGTAAAAGAGATGGACAAGATGACGAGCTGAGTTAGCACAGGGAGATTTCATCTTAAACAGGAGACTATCTTGGCCTCGCCTCGACACTCACCTCTGGGGTGGAGGAATCGGACGCTGTCCTCGACCTCTGATTCCAGGCCCCGCATTGGCGGCTCAGCTGTTGGCTGCGGTGCTCCTTCACTCTTTCTAGCAGCAGGTAATAGATTGCTGAGAAGTGGTTGTAGCTACTATTCTGGAGAGACTGTGGAAGGCAATCGAAAAACTGTTTTAGACACAGTGACCATACAAAGCATCACTTTAATATGTGTAATGCAACGCAGGCAGTCTGCGTCAAGAATTAACTTCTTAAGGGATATTACCAAAAGATAAAAGCGACACAGCATGGCAGCTTTTAAAACAGATGCTACTGTGTTTATCCTTTCTGTGCCAACAGAAGGACATAAGGAAAGCTATGGGAAGCTGGTGTTGTTTTTATTCTGAGGTGACAAATTAACAATTTACGTCCCTCGAACAATATATATTAATACTTGCTCTGGTAAAAAAGCCCTTCCCTGCTGGAAACAACTAACCACGTACTGTTTGTAACATACACAGGGACACATGTCTCCACAAGCCAACTGAATCTGCCCCTTTTCTCACCTCAACAGTCCTCTGTCTGTCAATGCCGAGGGTCTGCATGATACTCAAGACGGGTTCATTGTAGTCTCCCAGGTTGGAGTTGTAGTCAGTAAGGGACAGAGAAAGGGTCTGGTGGGGTGCGCTGGGATCCGCAAGCATCCAGCGGTGCTGCTTGATCTGAGCCACGCTGATCCGCTTGGCTGGGTCGACCACCAGCATCTTACGAATCAGATTTTCACAGTCTGGACAAGGAGACAAGGAGGTCTAGGTCAAAACTGGTTTTCTTACAATGATGCAGCATTTTACATGAAAAGAGGGAGTGAAGAGCTGTACCTTGTGACATGAAGAATGGTATTCTGAAGCGGCCCTCTGTCACTCTCTGTCTCAAAGCTGGAAGACTGTCCCCATCAAAGGGCAGGGACCCGCACACTAACACATACAGAACCACACCTAGACTCTGTGAAAGACAGAGACACATTTGTAGTATGTATTAGATTTGCATTTATACCAGTGCTTGCAAGGCAGCAAATAATACTGTTCTATATTTTATTATATTAAATTCAATATGCAAATAGGTGTTAGCTAAATGACTAGTGGCAATTTAGATTGCAAATTAGACAATGACATCAATGAAATTGGTTAATTTATAAATGCTAAACAGAGTTTTGTTTTCTAAGTAGTGTAAACAATTCTTTTATAATTTCATAATGATGATTTTATAATTATAATTGCAGCTGTGTAAGACATCAGCAAAGCATCAGTTTGATAAACATACCCAAATGTCTAACTGTGGCCCCTCATATTCCTTTCCCTCAAAGACCTCTGGGGCAGCGTATGGTGGGCTTCCACACCACGTGGAGAGAGGCTCCCCAGCATTATAGAAGTTTCCAAATCCAAAGTCTGAAAGAAATGGAGGAGAAGTGAGTTAGTTTTTGTTGATGAAAAGACTGAATGGCTTGTGTCAGTACAGAGAATCAGATTTGATTACTTAATTTTATTACTGATCCTAACTGTGAATTCAGTAATTGCTTTCTTGCTAGAGCACTCAGTCTGACTATGAGAAGTGTTTATGAGCAGGGCACCTCAATATGTGAACCCTTAAAAGCTTATTTTCTTTGCTCACCTGCCAGCTTGATGTTCATGTTGGCGTCTAGCAGCAGGTTTTCAGTTTTGAGGTCTCTGTGGACTATGTGGTGCCGATGGCAGTAGTCCACTGCCGTCAGAATCTGCCAAAACTTCTTACGAGCCTCGTTTTCACTCATCCGTCCGTTGGATGTCAGATAGTCTGTAAAAAAAGAGGACGGCTTAGGAAGGGAGGAGACATTGCCTTAAAAACCCCATATAAAGACAGAACCAAGCCTACGGTTTATCTGGGGAGACAGCCATTGTTTTTTTTAAAGGCTGAGTATATGACAGGTGAAGAGACAGATATGTTATACTGTTTAAATCCCTAGGTGGTGAGGACAAGCAGAGGTAGAGCAGCTTATCCCTTTTACATGGTTACATAAAGCTTGAAAATCCAACACCTGTCTCGCTCTGTGCTCACTCACTGCTCTGACAGCAGTATTGATCTAAATAATTCTCTCCCCATCAGACCTCATTATCCACAACAACTGGACAAGAGGTTTTGGGAGAGCCACAGACATAAAAAAAAAAAGACGCCCATCAGTCTTTTCACAGATTATTTAGTCATTCATTTACAAAAGTGTTTCCACTTACCAAACATTTCTCCATTTTTTGCATACTCTGTCACAATGTACAGCATGTCTTTGGTCTCCATGACCTGTAAAGACAAAAACATAATAGAATTAGAAAAATTATTAATTAAATTAATAATTCTAATTATTATTACAAATTATCACATTTTGCTAATGGTTTAAACATTTTGTGCATGTAGCTTTTATGAACTAATACTGTGAGATGCATGGAATATCTGTAGTTTAAATAATTCATTTATAAAATATAGAGCCATTTAAAATGGTTTAATAATACAGTAATATACACATAAAAAATAAACAATATACATTTTCTATTACACATTCATTTCAATTGTAATTTACATTTACATTTAGTCATTTAGCAGACGCTTTTATCCAAAGCGACTTACAAATGGAAGCAGTCAAAATCAACAAAAGAGCAATGACATACAAGTGCTATAACAAGTCTCAGTTAGCTTAACGCAGTACACGTAGCAAGGTTTTTTTAAATAATATAATAAATAAAAAGAAAACAGATAGAATAGAAAAATAATAGAGCAAGCTAGTGTTAGAGGTATTTTTTTGCTTTTGTTAATTGTATAATAAATGAAAAGAAAACAGATAGAATACAAAAAGATTAGAAAGCTAGAGTTATTTTTTTTTTTTTAAGAAAACAAGCAGCAAATTAATAGAGTGCAAGTTTATTATTAAATCAAATTTATGTGTCAATGTACATTTTATGCATCAACAAGCCAACTGTCTTATCTCTACTTCTCTTTCGAACCAAATTTCCTCTTTCTGTCAACTTCTATCATAGTTCTTGTTGTTCATAAATGACAGGCTAGTTTGTAATGATATGCGCCATTGCATAAGAGTGTAGCCAAGCATTTTCTCAATACCCTGAACACACACACACACACACACACGCACATGCATGTCTTTCTCAGATGCCTGCTGTCTGATCCATCAGTACCACTGAAGCAGCTAATGACAGCTGAAACTTATCTTCACCAACCTGTTTCTTTTGAACCATAAAATTCGTTTACACATAAGACCTAGTTTGAGCACAAAGGCATGTTCGGAGTGACACAAAAGGATCTGTATTTCAACAATTAATAGCGCAAAAATGTATAAAAGAGAGGGTGTATGACGTCCTCGCCCTTTATGAGAATGTCCCGTAAGTTCCCGGCAGAGGCCTGAGGGAGAAATACTAAACGCTGCATGTTGCGCTACCAGAGAGAGTTGCAGAACAGGTTCTGTGCTGTCCTCTTTTTCTATTGCTGAGGAAACCTGTGTAACCGTCCATATGCGCTCAGCCACTCGATACTTCAGGTCAGTGCGTAACATAACGTGTCATGACCCATGTAGTCAGGCTGTGCAACAGCAGGAAAAGGCTCTTTATCTCGAGATAAACCCGGCATCCAAAGACTTCAGTCTTTAGTGTCAACCCAGAGGGGCCAATCATGTCATAGCTTCCTTAGAAACCCCATCCTGTTCAGCCCACAGAGATGTCTCCCTCCGTCACTAACACAGAGGGAGATGAGTGAAAGAAACTATTGAATAGTTTCTCTGAAGTGAATGAGAAGCTAAAGGCAATAAAAGGACTGTTTGTACAAGAATCAAGAGAACAGAAACAGCTTATCATGAGGGGTCATGGGTCACTATTTCTACATTTTTCATCTCAAGGGCTTTTTGCTTTAAATAAACAGGGCATCAGTTATGAAAGGAGAGATAGATTTGAGGTTATCTGACACTAAACCGGTATCAAGCTGAAAGCAGAAAATCCAGGACGCTTTCGTGAAGGATTCTTACTTATGCTGCAGTCATAAGCTTACATGTTGGATGACATTAGGCTATGTTTTAATTAATTCATATGAAAGAGTATGCTGAAGGAATGGCACATCCAGCTCATATCAAACTACAACGCTACTGCTCAGTTCCCAAAAATGTCACCCTCTTACAAATGTGAGAGGTCAGATCCAAAGAAGTGAGGTGTGATGTTATTGACAAGGATTTTAGTTTCTCGCAGCTTCAGATCTGCAAAATGCTAATCTCCGAACAAAATCAACTTAAATTATACAGGCTATGAGAGAAAGAATGTGCGGACATATTAGTACCCTGTATTAGCCTGCCACTGTGTGCATGAATGTGCGAGCCAAAACATGGTGACAAAACAAGCCCAGGGATCAAATCAGATTGTACTTCTTAGAGATTTTCCTCTGGCTAGCTTCACGTGACTCTGCAGACACATTGCACTCGACTTTCACCAGTGCTAGTTAAGTCAGAGATTTAGACCCTGTATCCTTATATCCAACACACTCTCAGCTTTTCTGTGCCTCTCTTTCCCAGACAAAAAAAAAACAAAACACAAATTAGTCTATTGTAATCCAATGTGATTTAAAAGCCAACAAATCACATTAAAACAGCCTTGAATCCAAATTGCGAATAAAAATGGCAGTTTTCGCGAAACCATGCCGTTGTTACCTTCAGGATCTTTTACTACCTCAAAAATTACTTTATTTGGTGTAACCTAATGATCAGTTTCTTTGTCTGTCATATTATATACTTTAAATTCAATAAAACCAGTTTTAGGTAACCTGACGAAACATATTTAACAGTGTAATGCAGTGGACAGTTGCTATGCAGAAGCTGAATGCAAGGAACAAAATAACTTCAGTCTAATTATACATTGCATGCTATCCAGATGCACTTCCAGGGAAGAGTACTTCCACCTCACAATGTACCTGACCACACTCTCGGTGTCACTGAGCATGCTAAAATATACAACACTCCCTCAGTTTAGCTGACTTTAATCCAGCTATTTCAACAGGGCAGCCTTAGTAATTATAGCATCATTATTAACTTTACAAATCCTATACCTTACCTGATAGAGCTTTATGATGTGAGGGTGATTGAGCAGCTTCATAATCTGAACCTCCCTGTAGATTTTCTCCAAATTGGCAGAGTTTAGTCTTGTTTTATCAATTATTTTAATTGCAACCTGCATGAAAATACAATAAAATGTACATTTAGAAATGCAGCTGAATATACTGTACATTATTATTATTATTATTATTATTACTTGCCAATTTGTAGGAAAATATCAAAAGATACAAAATAACTTTATTATGTAAAAAGTTAAAAATATTCTGCAGGAGGTTTACCTGTGTTTTTGTTACTTTGTGTCTGGCCAGTTTGACCACAGCGAAGTTTCCCTTGCCGAGGGTTCTGTTGATCTCATAGAAGCCGACCTGCAGAGGTCTGGCCTGGGCACAACTTGACTGAGAGCCCGCGCTGCTGACCGTCATTATAACCATGATGCCGGTTTTGTGTGTGCCGAAGCGCAGCGATAACTAATTTATCTGCAATAAACCAGAAATGGTAGGTTATAAATGCGCACGAATACTACTGAACTTGAGCGACAAAATTACAATCATTATTCGTTATTTACAATAATTCTTACACATGCGATAACATCACAACCTTCCCAAAACAGTCTATGATTGCTTTATAAATCAATGAATCAATAAACATTTTATTTTAAGATGCACTGACATATAACACATTTGAACTAATTCAAAAGCAAGTTAATGTCATTGTAACGGTCTTTCAAATTGTAGCCTACAATTAATAGAAACTTCAGACTAAACGCACAATAGGCTAACAGGTCAAACCAGCGTGCAACGTCTATAAATGTCCTTGACATTCAGATAAATGTCATATATATATAAAAAAAATCTAGGTATACATAATGACAAAGTGTGTATCTGTTTCAAACACGCATGTCAAGGGAAATATCAAAAGCGAAGGTACTCTTACCTTTAACACGCGAATAAATTCCACCTCCTTCCACAGTACAAATGATTTTTTAATTCTGCATTTACAAGTCATTCCTTATGCAACTCTTGAGGGGAAAACTTGTTTTTGTTTTTATTCTGTCTTGATAATAGTTCCTATGTACAGTGATGTATTCACTTTGACGGAGCGCGCTACTATGTACAAGGTGCCGCTCCGTCCACCGAGGCTCCGCTCTAGAGCAGCTCTGCTGGCAACGAGACAAACGCTACAGGCTCATGGTGTGATGAGGGACTCCGCCTCCTCCCCCTCTTGCCATAACAAACTGATACCCGCCTCATTAACGTCATACTCGCGTCAGAGGGTAGACGTTGCCGAGCAACCATGCGGGCTCGTCGTACGCTGACGCCAGTGCTGATGGAGGGGTTGCTTGGAGATGAGGACGATCACGCCAGTGGCAGATATGTGTCGCCGCTCTCAAGCTGTTAGTGTAATGTGGAGACTCAGAGGCTCTGCTCCACCTGCTGGAAGGCATGCGCACTCCGCGAGCTGTCAACTTGCTTGACATGGTTGTGTCTATTTGAGGAATACAAAGAATGAGTTATGATTTTGCTGTGTGAACGCAACTGAGAATGCATGTTTGTTTTGGAGCTATGGGGCACATCTGAGTTCCCAGTATACATTAACCCCTAAAATATATATATTTTTTTATTGCTATAATTTTTTCCACATCTAGGCCTACACCCATATGACATTTCTGGACTTCCTCACGTCAGCTAATTTAGTTCACATTTATTTTGCTATTTTAATAGGGAGTTTTGATTAGCCTAATTTGTCGCCAGATGTATATGGGTCAAATGTAATTGTTTTTCATTTTCCATCTGTTATTTACATATGTAAATATATACATATAGCTTAAATATCATGTTCAGATGGATATTTAGTAAGCAAGTAAATAGCAAGCTCTCATTTAGCAAATACTTTTATCCATAGTGATTTATTAGTATAATACGGTGACTCTCACCCCAATGAGAAACCTGACATACACATACACATCTAATTTAATATAAGAAAAAATATTTTCATTACCAAAACTAGTATGCAGAAACACTTTATGATAGTTTCAATTGTTAACATGAGTTAACAATGAATACAACTGATTTTTCAATATTATACAACTGATTCATTAATATTAATTTTAGTTCATGTTCATATTAGCATTTGTAAATACATTTTTAAGATGAAAAGTCGTATCAGCTAACATTAATGCACTTTGAACTAACATGAACATGATAACTACATTAACAAAGGTTAGGTGTAAAAACATGTTGTTTATTAATTAGTTCATGTTAGTTAATGCATTAATTAATGTTTGCAAATGAAACCTTATTGTAAAGTGTTACCGCTTTAATAAAAATACAACTATTCATTGTTATTTCAAGATAGCTCAGCTCTATTAAACAATATTAACAGATGCAACTTTTGATTTTAATAATGTATTAGATGTATTTTTATGTATGTACAGTATTTTTTTTCATTGTTAGATTATGTTACCTAATGTAGTTAACAAATGGAACCTTATTGTAAAGTATTACTGAATATGCATATAAATGCATCTCTGTGCAGCCTGAGCTGGCTATGCATTCTATATTTCATGTCATATATTGCATTTTGTCATTAATAATACTTTATGTGGTATTCTACATAGCCACGAGTATATGTGGACAACCTCCTCTGATGAACAGGTTTGATTTTTTTCAGCTACACCCATTCCTAACAATTACATAAAATAAAGTATGCAGTCATACTTGATATTACTCCCATGCTTGTGGACTTAAATGCTCAAAAAGCACATTACATTTGCAATCTTTTCATGAAAATATGCAAGTATGAGTGGACACGTTTACACCTGCAGTGATTGTAATGCACAATTTAGCTCTTAGAAAACACTGCTTGCATGGCTGATTACAAGAATCGAGTCTCCTTCTGAAAGTCAAGGTTGTGAGTAATCTGCTCTGCAGTTCAAGAGAGGGAGGGGTGCATCATTCATTGTGTATGCACAGCACTGCTCTATATGACAATGCTTGATGTCCACAGAGAGCATATACCGCATTGGCATTAGCATTTCTCAGAGATCTTACATGTGCACACAAATAGGTGCATGCACAAGCTTTTGCTTGCAAACCCCTCCCTGTGGACACATAGTCTCATTCAAGCATACACACACACACACACACACACACATACTGGCATAGATTTATGCCTGAGGCAACCCCGCAGAGGAATAAAGCCATTCGAAATGGCTGATACAGATAAAGATCTACTAGTAATCAGTGCGTCAACACTGAAACAGACGTAGAAGGCTAATATGATGGTAGCAATACATCTATAGCGTAGATGACAGTTTGAACAACAGGATCATAAAACACAAACTTGTTGTTTGTCATGGAATGAAACATGTGGCATTACCCTTATTATCAGCAGGTGTAATGTTTTACTTTCGGTGACCTCAATTCATCTGTCAAACAGATGACGAAGATTATCTTCCAGACAAAAACCATGTTTCAGAATAAGAGCTCATTCAAGCCAGCTCATAATTCATAGATCAGACATTACTGCTTGCAATTCATCAAAAAAGAAAGTGGACTTCTTTCCTAATACTCTCTCTTATGCAAAAGATGTCTCTTTTGAGTCACATATTGTCATCTCCTGTGTTTTGAAATAAATCCATTTTTATTTGTCACATATTTTTGTGCAATATCTGGCTTAGTCACTATCTGCGAGTACACGATTTAGAGGCTTTTGGGTTGCGGAATGCACCTACATTTCTTTCTTCACACGAGGTGAAGTTTGGGGACTCCTTTTGGTTTTGATATCTCTGAAAAGAAACCCCAGTATAGTATCTTCACACCATGACATTAATGAGGGGTCTCCCTCAAAAGCGATCTTTCAGAAACAGAGGATATTCTGCCCACGCAAAAGACTATGAAAGTCTCCGGAGGAGTTTCTGGGTTTTGGTGGTGAGACATTCATCACATTCAACAACACACAAACTTTTCCGCTCCATGCCTATAGTGGTGTCAAAAAGTTTTCTGAGTCATGGTGGAACTAGAATAGACTGAATAAACAAAAGAAGAATAAACAAAAAAGACACTGGACAACTGCACACTGCAAAAATCATCATTATCAGCTGTTTGGACTCTCATTCTGACGGCACCCATTCACTGCAGAGGATCCATTGGTGAGCAAGTAATTTAATGCTAAATTTCTTCAAATGAAGAAACAAACTGATCTACATATGGGTGGCCTGAGGGTGAATACATTTTTAGCAAATTTTCATTTTTGGGTGAACTGTTCCTTTAAACTTAAACTTACTTAATTGTTTTTTTTTAATTCAGAAAACAAGACTTAATATCTTATGTCATTTTGCTTATCAATATTAAAAATATCAATATTTATACTGGAAAACAAGACAAAAATACCAAGTAAGAAAATCATTTTATGCATTGCAGAAATGCCAAAGCATCACTAAGAACAGGAAAAGGGGAAGAAAATGAGGTAGAATCAATTGATGGGGGAGGCAAATCAACACGATACCTCCTCCACAGACGGAGGTGAAAAAAAGCAGATCATCCCACGCTGCTGGTTAATCTTTGCTCAACTGGAGGAATGCAAACATGATGCAAAGAAACCAGCTGACTCAAATGTCATATACTTTCACCTGACTTGTACCTAAAGTATCAATACTGCACAGCCCTAAAGGTCACACGCTAGCAGTGAAACTCCGCCAGCCGGCACTAACCACAGCACACCGTTTGCATTGCAGATGACTTTAACCCAACCTGTTTGCATATCTCTCTGCTTTAAATGTAATCTGATTTTGATATGATCCTATTTGTTATGCAACCTGTATTGTGATGCCACCTGGGCTCTGCTCTAGACTCTTAACCTTGAGTGATTTAATCCTAACAGACATTTAGGTCATTGCACAGTTATAATATCAATTCTTAAATGAGACTTTTTCAGAGAAACTGTGCCCTTTCATATTAAAAGACTGTTTCCAAACCATTTTAATTCCATAATCTGACATGTAACGTATTCTGCACCAAATGAAAGGACTATAAAATGCACATTAAGATGCATTATTGAGCTATGCAGAATATAATAAGATGAACGGGACAACATTAATGAGCACTCAGACATATCTTATTAGTTGCAAACACAAATGATTGCATTTTACAGTAAGGGCTCATTCAAGCCAGCTCCATAATTCATAAATCAGACATTACTCCTTCAAATTCATTAAAAGGACAGCACACTAATGAGCTCTCAGACATATTTTATTAGTTAAAAACACAAGTTCAATCATGACAAATCTCGGAACATTTTAGCATGGTGATGGATATGAGAATGTTAACTGAATATCATCGGTTACGTTAACAACCAGTTGCCTGCGCCATCTAGAGTTTCATGACTGAACTATATATTTATTACACATATTAAACTCCCATACTAAATGACACTATTTACATAAACTACATGTGCCACCAAAGCTAAAATAATGCACATTTTCTGGAAACATTTTGAAACAATTTATTCATATTATTGTTGATAGATTTAAGGTGAAAATATTAATGGATCCTCAACTTGGACTGATTTAATTTTATTAAGTGAGTTGGAAAAGATACCGCTAAAATTAGAATGAGAAATTAAATATTATAATATAGTCAAAAATATTAAATATATACAAATGCAAAATGATAACACAATGTTTTAACACCATGTGCTATGTATTATGTGTAATTCAACTTGACTTCTGTCATTTTTATATTTTTTCTTATTTCTGCTGTATATGTATCTGTATGCATACCACATAAAGATGAGGAAGATGCATATACTACATCTTTAATTTTTCATTAATTTGAAGAAACACTAAATGTATGTAAAGGTGCTCTGAGAAAATCCTCAATAACACACACAAATACATACACAGATGTCTCCTAAATGGTTGAGGAAGTCTATTGGCATGAGCGATGATTCATAGTACTACTGGCAGTTTCCCTGTGACGTCACTGTCAAGATTATGGGCCAAGAAAGATGTGTGTATGCGTGTGTTTATGGGAGAGAGAGAAGCCTGAATAAAACAGCCTATCACAAACACTGTGTAGTGCTTTCACTAATCTTAATAACCCTACTTCAACTGTCCAAAAAAGTGATTTAGCAATCACTGTTTACTCAAAGCTATAGAATTAGCATGCGG